TCACGGTCGCCATCTCTGTCTCCCTGCAGATCCTTCTGGCTGGTGGACGGGCCGACTACGAGGCAAGCAGGGCCTGTTCCCCAACAACTACGTAACCAAGATCTGAGGTGCACAGAGACTCTGACACACGGGGCAAAGGAACTCCAGGCACGGACAGGGGAGGGGACGTTTGGAGGCTCTCCTGATCCATAGCCAGCAATTGCTTCTCCAAGGCCTGGTGTTATCCTGGCATCTTCCCCATGGAGGACATCAAAAAGCTGGGTTGGGGAAAGAGAGTGTCACTCCATAAATGATCCTGAAAGGTAGCCTCTTCGTAGGAACCCACGAGGGCAAAACAACCATCCACTAAGATTTATTTATTCTATTTAAACCTGGTGAGAGGACAGGCGAGGTCCACTCGGACCTTGTTGGCTCTATCAAAACAGTACCCCGCTCGCTCACCAGGCCCGGGGAATGGCTGTAGGCGGCCGCTGACAAGTGCCTTTAGTTGAAGAGCACATTTCTTTCATCCCTCTTTTCCTTACCTGACACACACATTCCTCTCTGCCACCTTCCCTCAGAGAGGACCACTCTGCAGGCTGGGCTTGGCGTGAGTGGGCACTTCCTGTGCAAATGCCAAGGGCTGGCATGGCCTGCTGAGCCCACGGGTGCAGAGGGGCGCTGGTTTACACTTGCCGGGACATCGGGCTGCCGGGCTGAGTGGGGGCTGGGGGCTGGGCTGTCGGCCTTGCTTTCTCTGGGTTTTCAGTTGGAATGTGGCTGGCCCATGTTGGTTTTGTGTTTCATGCTGTACCTATTACTAGAAGGGTCTCTTTTTTTTCAAGCTGTACATTTATAAAAACAGATCATATACTGTATATATAAAAATCTTGAGATGGTAGAAATATGTATGAATGTACTAAGTAGTATTCCACTGTACTTATTCATAAGGTAGGTTTTATTACAAAACTCGCACCAGGTACTTACAAATGTGCACTACTCCTTTGCAACTATAGAATCAGTGTTACTGCTTTCTAGCTCAGTCCCCGCAAACCCTTCCCAACCCTTTCCCTACAGGTAATTTTCCTCTGAGCCCCTCTGCGTCCCTTCCCCTACCTCCTAAATAAATAAAGGAATCCGTGAACCACCTTGTTCTTTCTTGATATTTGTTATGGGTTGAATTTTGTCACCCCACAAAAAGATATGTTGAACTACACACACACACACACACACACACACACACACACACACACACACACACGCAATATTCTTACCTCTGAATATGACCTTATTTGGAAAGACGGTCTTTACAGAGGTAATCAATGAAGTCATTAGGGAGTGCCCTAATCCAGTATAACTGGTGTCCTGATTAAAAGGGGGAAATCTGAACGCAGATCCACACGCAGAGAGGGAAGAGGCGTGGAGTCAGCCACCTACAAGCCAAGGAGAGGGCTGTGGCATAGCGCCTTCCTTCACAGCCCTCAGAAGGAGCCAACCCTGCCGGGACCTGGATCTCAGACTTCCAGCCTCCACAATTGGAAGACAATTAATTTGTTGTTAAACCACCCACTTGGTGGTACTTTGTTAAGGCAGCCCTAGCAAACCCATGCAATGTTTATGACCGTAATAATGAAAAGTTGGGGGGAATGTAATGTGCATCAATAAGGGAAAGAATATAGGGGAGACTCACTTCTCTACCTTTCCTCCCAGTTGTCACAAGTCACTCTTAAGCTAGTGGGAAAGTAAGGTTTGACTACCACACACCTTTTTGTCATTTCAGGATCCCCAAGTCTGTGGGAAAAGATTTTCAGGGGTTACATATAAGGAAAAAAATGTATATAAGTTTGGAACAAAGTAAACCATTTAATCCTATGGTTTATCAAGAACAGGAAGCAAACTTTATTCAGTAGCGATAACAATGTTTAAAGTGTATTTCAGTTCTGTTTTGAGACCATTTAAGAGGAAAATAAAGCCATAATGTGATGACATGAGGAAAGGTGATTACCTCCTTTGACTATTTTACTATTGCCGCTAATAGTCTCTATAGTTTACAAAGGACTCTTCACATTCCTGGACTCACTGAAAGTGAGAGGAAGGCGACAGAACCAGAATTCCACCTGGAAGCATCATGGACGCCCACAGCCTCCGCCCACGCTGCCTTCTCACTGGCAGGAGTGCCAAGATCGCATTGACTTGTTAACGTCCACCCTTGGCTGGCTAGAAGGAGCTTTTGTTTTTCTTAAACAATCAGTCCTGAAATAAAAGAATCCCAACTTTAAAACAATTTGGGGCTGACAGACAAGTCCGGGTTAAGCACAGGTTCTTTTAAAAAGGACTATGTTGAGGATAAATCTTAACTCAAGCTTTGGAGGAAGTAAGGTGACCTGGACGGTCAGTGGAAAGAATCACAATGTGTGAAATTCCTTAAATAAAAATTTATTGGCTTTAAATAATTTTCCCTAATGTTAAGCATGGAAGGAAGCAAGGGGGAGGCGGGGAGGAAGGAAAGAAGAAAGGAAGGGAGGGAGGGAGAGAGAGAGGAAGGGAAGTAAGGAAGAAAGGGAGCTTCCTCCTTCAGCCCATGGCTCCGTGAGGCAGAGCTGCTCACAAGAACAAGCGAGAGACAGCATAGCTGTGCATCCCCACTGGCTTGCACACAGCAGGGTTTACACAGAACCCAAATCCTTTCCCTTTTTGACTCCCTCTCAACAACTCCCGAGGACCTCCTGCATGGATCTGGGTAGACTAAGGCTTGGCCCTGCCTCTAGTTGCTACTTCTTTTACAGGTGTTTTTCTGGGAAGTTTCATTGGCGGGTGGGGATGGAGTCTGGAATCAGGAGTAGAGAACGCACAGTGCATCTTTGGTGGAGAGCCTCTATGTTCCTGGCAACCCTTTTATGGTCAAAACAGTAGGAGCCATCCTGCAGTGTTGCCCCTTCCCTCCTTGTTTTGTGTCTCTCCCAAGGCCTGGATGGTCTTTGCAATTCCTCCTGAATTTAGGAACTCACTTTTACTCCTACCAGCTAATCCTGACGCCTTTCCCTCCTACTGTACTGGACCTGCCTCCGCTGACCAGTAGAGCCTCCTCTAAAATCTCCACTTTGCAAATGAGAAGACTCAGCATGGTTCGCTCCCTCGCCCAAGGTCACACAGCTCTGAAGTAGAGGAGCTATCATTTGAACCCTGACCTGACCCCTGAGACGCATGCTTTTAATCTTTGTCTTCAACAAATATTAGGGAGTTTGATAGCCTTAATTGTCAACCTTTAAACTTCTAGTATCCTCTCAAAAATAAAAAAACATGAAAAGCTCACAAATAGGACTCAACAGCTCTAAATCTGTAACTTCTTTGATGAGCATGAGCTGCGTCAAACTTTTATCTTCAAATGCCCAGAGTTCATCTCTTTCCAAAACCATCAACCTTAAAATAATACCCACGAACAATCAAGCACCTCCAGATGCTGTACTAAAGGCTTGACATGCTTCCTATAGGACAACACTCTGAGACAGACACTCGTATCTCCATCTTACAGACACAGGCCACAGCAGCTACGTAGAAACAACCCAGTATTAAGGTCTGTGCTCTTCAGATACTATGGTTACATCATCTCATTTTCTACTTTCAGTGTTTTTATATTACGAATTCTAGTTTTATAGCTTGTTTCACATTTATAACACTTTAGAGTTTTGGGTTCCTGCTGTGGCACATAAGGAAGTATCTTAAATGACATCCTGGAAGTAGGAATTTCGTGAGTCAGAGTATTTAATATTTAACTAAGCAAAATATGTAATAAAGCTATAAAGTTTTTGGAATATGCCTACAAAACCCATCGTTTCTTGATGAGGAGTTGGAGCTCAAGCGTCCCTGGGAAATAACTGCTTTTCAGAATCAGGAAAGCTCCCTTTCATGGTCTCACTTAGTTACCATTCACACTTGTGACCTGTCAGTCTAAGACCGCCATGGGAACAAGTTTCGCTATCTCAGCAAGGGGTATTTATAAAACTTTATATGAGGACTTCAACATATAAAGATACCCAGTTTCTCTAAATGCTCAAAATCGAAAGACTTGCTAGTAAGGCAGCCCTGGGCAGACGAGGGAAAGGGAATGAGACGCGAGCCCCAGTGGGAACCAGGTCCTCCCCGGGCAGCCGCAGCCACAGCCACAGCTGAGTCACAACACCAGGCACCTGTGGACTGCGCTGTCGTGAAGAAGGCAGCGTTTACCACGCTCCCAGCTGGGGAATTGCTGAGTTAAGTTAGCTTACTGAAGCTTCTCAGAGCCTTTATGAATCTCACATGTGTTTGCAATGTTTCCCAAGTGTATCTGACTAACTCCTTTCTCTCCAAAGACCACTTAACATCTTGTTGAACTAATAGTTTGGGAAGTTGTTGCTGTAGGAGACTCATTTATGAAGGGGGCGTTTGGCGTTCTTTTAGTGGTTGTTGGAGACTGAGAATGCATTCCCCCTTAGAAAACAATGTTAAATGTGATCTCATGCCCACTCAAAAAAAAAGAAAAGTAACCCATAATGTAGTTGAAACAGCACAACAGGAAAATGCATCCTAAGTCTCAGCTTTAACTAGATGGCACAGGCCGACTTCCTTTTTCCAGCTGCCCCTTAGGACTGCTATTCCTGGTCTAACCAAGGCTTTGAGAAAGACAAATGAAATTCTGAGGGTTACTTCTGGTGGTGATCGCCCTAATGGGCCAGGTGTTCCTGTACAGAAATTAAGAGAATAGTTGAGTAGGTTCCAGAAAGGAAAAACTGTCATGGTTATTCTGTTATAAATTTTCATAGTGAATCAATCTTTTTATATTCAAGAAGTTTGGGACTGGATTGGCGTTCACTGAAGCCAAGTTCTACTTTTTCCCATTTGAGAAAATGATAGGTCTTTCCCAAAGCCATAAAGGCAATAATTGACATGCTATTCATAATAGCTCAAAAAGAAATTAGTCAAAGTAAGTGTCTACTGAGTTGTTTGGTACAGAATGCACAAGTATACAGGATAAGTATACAGGATACCTTAAGACAAATCAATAGCTTTATTTTTCCTCAATATACATTTAGAAAATAGGCCTCAGAAGAGATTTCATGAACCAGACCAGATGATTATATACAAAGTCAGGAGTTCCAAATCAGTGAGCCAAAGTGCAGAGATGAAGCACTCTTCCCAAGGGCCCCGGCAGCCTAGGAGCGTCCCATCAGAGGTGAGGCCAGCTCTTGAATGGCTTTTGAGTTCAGCTGAGGAATCGTGCTGATCTTCAGGAGTTTGCTGCTTGCATACTTATTCTTGATGGCCTGCAGAAGTCATCTGTGATTAAGCACACATCAGGACCCCCTACCCCTTAATACCTTGTTCCTAGTCTCATTTGCAAGTATTAAAAGGCAAGACCCACAATCTCTAGATGGTCTGATGATGCTGAATTACTGAAACCAGCAAGTGCTCTGCCATCATATGTTGTGCCGGGCAATTTCCTTCCATGCCTACTAATGGAATAAAGCCCAGCTGGTAGCACAGGTGATGGGGGACCAAATGGTTTCCAAGTCCAAGGAGGGGTTGTAGGTGGGAGCTGTGTTTATCATATCTAAATGCTGCTAGGACCTAACAAGTTCACCAGGACTGGCAGCAATAACTATAATAAAAGTGAGTGGCAACCAGTACTCAGCAGAGCCCAGACAACACCCTCAGGACCGAAACACACTGCGCTCCCAGGGTGCTAAGCCATGCTGAAACCATACCTAAGGAAGCAAAGCAGGATGGAAGGGCGCTTGCTACAAAAGCCTTGCTGCGTCAGCAGACTCGGTAAGCTGATATTCAGTGCCACACAAGACCAGGAGAGCATGCAATCTGCCCTGGCTCCTCCTCTCAGGTGGGCCACCCAGAGACCGACACCAGGCCCCATAACGATTCCTGAATGGGCTTCTGCCCCTCATTCCTCACCACGCTTGCTATTCGGGTGCCTTTCAGTCATTGTCCCACAAGACCCTGGACAAAGGCCCTGAGTACTATCGCCCGAATACCCAAGTCTTCCGCAGGGCCGTCTGAAACGGGCCCCTGGTATTCCCGACCACATGCCGACCAGCCCTCCCTACTTGCTGAGCTCAGCCCAGCCAGGACACTGGGACCAGCATGGATCAATACACTGAACAGCCACCTGGCTGACTGCTCCGGGCCTGGACATAGCTAGCCTATCTACCTTGTTTAAAAAAAAAAAAAAAAAAAATCAGCTCTCAGAGTGCACCAGTATACTTCATCCCTAGAAAAATATAAAGACTTGTGCTAAACTACTCTCTCACATATGCCAATATATTTACATGAAAACACAAACACACATGGAACATACTGTCCTACAGAAAGCCCATAATCCAATGCTTTTCACAGCTTAGGAAAGAGTCCTTACAATGAATTTGTGTAGGGAAAAGTACTTACGATGAATTTCGTTAAGTTTTCATTCACCTTCACTACATTTTTGGCCATGTGCTGCATGACTTCCAGTACTTCATTCTCCGTGTAGCCTGTGTAATACTGCTGCTTTAAGTTCTGGAACACAACGCGAAGACAAGGGACACGGTCAAGCCTCCGCTGCTTTAGAAGAGTGTATCTTACACATGCTGACATTACTTACGTAAAAGCTAGAAAAGAGTACTCTTAACCGTCCGGAAATTTAGTTACAGCCCCAATCACTACCACAGTACCGGCAAAGCAGCCAGTAAACGGTGGTTGTGTCTTTACTCTTTTAAAATGTAAACAATTTCCATTTTCTTGGCTTTAAATGACATTAACTTTTTTGGAGGATCCAGGCCAGTTGCTTTTAGAAGGTCCCACATTTTGGATTTGTCTTAAGCGTTTCCTGACGATTGAAGTTGTGTCAAACATTTGGGGCATCAAGTCTATCGGAGTGATAATATATGCTTTGTATTGCACCAGAAAGTACATCAAGTCAGGTGGTGCCACCACTGGGGATGTCAAGCTTGGTCACCGGCGTAAGGTGGTAACCACCAGACCTCTCGGTCACAAAGGTGCAGTTTTTCTTTGGAATCACTACATATCTGTAACGTGATATTGAAACCATGTCAATCTTGTTCCCCCAAATTATTTCACCTAATGACATAAGCATCAATTGATGATCTTTGTTGAAATCAATTATTACATTGGGGGTTAAAAACTGGGTTTCTAAACCATTCTTTCTACTTTAATTAGCTGGCATTCTACTCATTAAAAAAGAAAAAAGGAAAAAAATAAAAAAATAAAATAAATAAATAAATAAAGAAAGAAAGAAAGAAAGAAAGAAAGAAAGAAAGAAAGAAAGAAAGAAAGAAGGCCCTCTTTTCTTTCTTCCTTTCCTCCTTCCTCTCTTTCATTTATAACATTATGGACATGTGGGTTTTTAAAAATGCATTATAATCTATGACTGTCACTATTCTTTGTAATTGGTCAAATTTAGTCAGTAAAAGCCCTTTCAAGAAAGTTCCTCAACCTTCTACCCAATACCCAGTATCCATTTTCATTAGTTTCTGGTCTAGTCTTCCTGTATTTTTTTTTAATTAGCAAATATATAAACACACACATGGACATATATTCTCTCTTATTTCCCCTTTCTCACATACAGTGTAAACTGTATGCACTTGTACAGAGACCAGCTCCGCCATGGCTCCCAGGCAACCTTGCACGTATCCACATAGGACATGCAGCCAAAGGCTGAACCACTGCTGCTCCGTCTTGGCAAAACGCTTTGTGATCCTCCAGGAGCACGAGGAGATGGCAGGCCTGGGAGGAGCTGCCTCCGAGCCAGCTCCCACTCGCCTCCGTCTCCTCTAGGAGGCTGTTCTGAGACTGTTTCTTATCACCTCCTGGGCTCTGAGGCTTTTGCTCTGCTTGGGCTACAGCTACAGACTATACAACTGCTTAGTGAGTCTAGAATGAACACGTGCACAAAAGAGTAACCCGCGCCTCACACTGCAGTCCCCTGCCCCCTTCTGTTTCCGTGTTTCCTCTTTGGTGTGTTAGACAAGGACCCAGGCTCCTTGTATGAATCTAAAAGCGGCTCATTTGATCTGTATGGCAAATCAGTCAGGCTTTGACCTTGTTCAGTCTTGTGCACTTCACAACTTGCTTGTTTCACTCAACAAAACATCCCAGAAATCTTAGCATATGAGTTGTCCGTGGCCTTCCTCGTTCTTTACGACTCTAGAATACATTTGGGTACCATGGTGTCGGTGTTGTCACCTAATCTCCATCTGAATCGGTCCAAGCAGCTTTCCTTTAGGCCTTTAGACTTTAACAATTTCTTAAAGGTCAGTGTTGTGAAAATGCTGAGGCCTTTCCAATCAAGAGAGCATAAAACATAGCCTAACTAATTTCTTTTGAAATCCAACACTCACCCATTTTCCTTGGCCTAGAACCTTCTGGGACAGGCAGGAGGCAGCTGCTGCCACCTTAGAAGGGTGATAATGCACCATGTCGTAGTCAATGAGCGTCAGCTCCATCAAATATTTGGCTAAAGTGTGCTGGTCAACATCGACCTATAAAAGAACAGCCAGGGAGAGTAAGAACCACAGTTATTATTCTTGCAAAATTCTGGGCCTAAGAGCCCAAATCCACATAACTTGCTTTTTTTCCCCCAGGAGCTGCTCTATTGGGCATTATGTTATAAACACAGATTGGTCTTTTCTCTTAAAAACTGATGAGATAAACATGAGGACTTATCTCAAAGGTGTTTCCTATAAGTTCGTAAGCTTTCCTTTAATTGGATCAATGTTTCTGGCGTGACACAACCAGCAGCAAAATAAAGTCTCCTACAGAATTGGAGGCACTTACCTCCCCGGCTTTTGATGCCCGCCTTAAGAAATGTAGAGGCAAAGGTCGACCCAACTCAAATTTCAGTTCTTTCAAAATTAGAGTTTCCATTTCTCGGATCTGGGAACCGGTATACGCATTGTCTGTGATGTAAACGAAGTCTTCGATATTTGGAGAAAACATCTCCTCATATTTGGAAGCCAAGAGCAGAGCTGTAATCCCAACCAGTTGAAGCTTCTTACGAGAGACTGGCTGAACCTAATTGAAGAAGACTGTGTCAAAAGTCATATCTAACAAGACTGGGGCTCTAGGGGCAGAAAGTGAGAGGGAACCAAGTCCTGGAGATGTGCACATCGCCTCTGCTCACACCCCTCTTAAGGGCACAGGAAGCCTAAATGTTACTAGCAGGTACCAGCACCACTCACAGCGGCCGTTTCTGAGCACTATGTGTGCCAGGCACAGTGCTAAGATTCTAACAACCATCTCATCAAATCCTCACAAAAACCCTAGGAAACACCTATTTTTTCCTTCACTTACAAACAGGTGGCCTGAGAAGAGATTCCGACACCAGCCCAGATCACTCAATTGCTGAATAGATAAGAATTGTGCCTGACAACCAAGCTCCTAGTCACTGCTCCAGCCCCATCGTCCTGGCTTGAGTGACTAGGGAAGCCCCAACATGGCACTCAGCATGGTCTGAACCAGGATGAGGCCAAGCCAAAAAGCAGAAATGTAATGGATGCCTAGGGACGAGGAAGGGGGAGGTGTCTCAAAGATTTCCCTAATGCTCACCAAAAATACACTCATTCGGCCTGAAGAATCTTTCAAAGATGCTTCAGAATCAGGGAAAATCTGTCTAGGGAATAAGTGTTTCCCTTAATTTCCTTGATTAAAAAAAAAAAAAAAAGAGTAGGACTTTGCTTTTTTTGCTTCAACTTTCATTGAAAACCTACCAAAAATATTACTGTATTAATTAAACCACTTTTATAATGAAAACCACTGAATCTATAGTTATTTAGGATTTTGTAGTATCTCAGGGTCATTATCATAAACACAATTAATATTGTATTGTTTATACTTGATCTAAACCTGTATCATAAATGTTGGCTTTAAATAAATAAATTCTTATCTTCAAGGCTACTGTTTGGTAGATGACACACTAGGGGTTTATGTCGGAAATTTCTTCTAACTGGTCCCTGTTTTTGCATTACCAGTTGATAAATATTTTGATGATCACTTCTAGCTCTCAGCTAAAGTTCTTACATTCCTCTTTACTTGAGACTTCATATTCATACACTCCCCTACACACCCCAACCCGTTTTTTAAAAATCATGCCTCCTCCCGCTTCTACAGTGATTCAATACCACAGCTAGCTGGACACTGGGAAGCTCTCTAGCCAAACTCCTCAGTTTTCAGATGAATCACTGAACTATAGAAACTGTGCAAGCAGGCCTGGAAAACCAGCATCCAAAGGCACCACAGGCATCAGACTGACTTTCAGACTATCTGCTGGTGTGTTTCCTTTGATGAATGACTATGGCAATGTAGTATTTCCCCCCAGCACGTCTCAGCAGGCTGACCTAACAGAAATGCCTGCCGTTGGTCAGCATCACCAGAGGTTTGACACACCTGGACTGTTTCCCTTTCCAGTACCTGAAGTTCTTTGGCTTCTCCTAAATTGGCTGTTTTGGTCTTTTCTTCAGAACTACCACCCCTTGGCAATACATAAATGCAATGTTCTGTGAGCCACTGTACCAAGTCCCGGAAGCCATGCTTACCTGTAAAAATCGATCCATAATGGCAATGCACATGTACAGAGTTTCCTGCAGCAGCCTAAACTTGGAGTGGACTTGCACCAGCCAATCCACCAGGATGGCACGCATACGTCCATTTATGTCTCTTCCATCTAAGAAATGGGGATTTATGGACTGCAGAGCCTGTTGGTGGAATTACAAGTTTAAAAAGCTGACATCACCTCCTTCCCACCTGTGTGGGACATGTCACATTGCTCATACAACGAAAACACAAAGGCCCACTCACCTCGAGCTGCCTTAGATACTGGTAGATATCCTTAACGTAGTCGCTGCAGAGCTGAGGGTTCTCCCAGTCTTCATTATCAATATCCTCGATTTTGCAGAGTAAGGCATCAGAGAAAGCTTGGCAGAGGTTCTCTTCCTTCATGGAGATATCCTCAGGTGTGGGAGAAGGACGCTAATGGACAAATTAAAGAGCATGTATTGATTACTGCCTTAGGAGTAGCCGTCATCACAAATGCATGCAGAGCCAACTGGTTTAAAGTAGCATGTGCATTTCTGAAATGTATTAAAGCCAAAATAAATGTCAGAGTAAGAGGTGAATAATTCAGGATAGAGTAGGTCAAGTTTTTGCAGATATACTCCTCTGTTGAAAATTCTCAGTTCCAATCAAAGTGAAAACCTAAGTCCTCACGATGTCTTCACAACGGGCCCTGCATGGTCTGGCCCTCCCCCTGCCTTTGCTGATCCATCTCCTGCTTCTCTCCCCTCAGTTTGCTTCATCTATCCCACGGGCTTCCCTCACTGCAAGCAGGCTCCCTCTTCCCAGAATGTTCTCGTCCCTGTGTCTGCATAGGAAATTCCCTCACCTTCTTCAAGTTTTGCTTAATCCTCCATCGAGCGCAACTGATCTCCCAGATTCATTGCACACAAAGATGCCGCTATGAAATACGTCTTTACTGCACTAAGTCACAAACATGACAGGCGATAGGTTACGGTAGAGGGGGAAGATGCGGAAGTGATGAGTCACGATGCTTAACTGTTAGATATTTGAAAATGTGTGTGCAATGAATCTGTGAGATCAGTTGCACTCGACGGAGGGTTAAATGTTACCTTCTCAGTGAGGTCTATCCTGATTCCTATTTAAAATAACCATCTGCTTCCTGTTCCCCTCACACATACATTTTATCTCTCTTACTGTGTTTTTTTCCATAGCTTACAATCTAATATATTATAATTTATGCATCTATATCATGATATGGTGTGTATTATTTTCTGTCGGCCTCTGCTAGAAGCTCTATAAGCTTACATTTATTTAAATTGGTTTTGTCCACTAAGGTGGCTCAGACACCTGTATCATCCCTGAAACACAGGTGTTTGGTAAATATTTATTGAGTGAGGGCCGGCCGAGTGGCGCATTGGTTAAGAACTGGCTTGCGACGCCAGAGAGCCCCGGTTCAGATCCCACATATGAGGGCCAGTGACACTGCCCTCCACAGCTAAGATGCTGAACAACAGCTCAACCTGGAGCTGGGTCACCAGCGACAACGTAGGCTGCAGCCCCTGCTGCAGTGGGTTGCCATGGGCTACCGTGTGTAGCCAGCAGCCAGCGTGAGTGGCCAGCAGCCATCCAGAAGCCGGCGACTGATCTGCCTCACCCGCGAAGAGTGCATTGATGGTGCCAACTTGGGCCAGTGAAGCAACGTCCTCCACAACTAGACTGAAGAACAAAAGGACAGCAACTTGTCTGTTTCCCTTCTCCCAAAAGCTATTCCCCTCCCCCAATTCCCCAATAAAAAATCTTAAAAAATATATATATATATATATATATATTTATTGAGTGAAACAGCTGGGTTCAGAGATTTCTAGAGCTAACAGTTCACTTTAGCAGTAGCCTCTTCTGTGTGTGTAATGTTTTCTTCTCATCAAATAATCTACTCTAAATTGTGAAATTGGCAACTAAAAACCAGAAAAGCACATTCCAGCCTATGAATAAAAGAGGAGAAAGCAAAGACTGAGCAAGTATACACCGGTAATGTATTTTCTTATACTGACAGGGTGATCACTTATTAAAAGAAAAACAAAATCACATTAAAAATGTATTAAGTTAAAACAAGTGTTTAGTAATGAAGTATAAATAAACCATTACTTTTTAAAAGAATAAGGGGTACTTCTTGAAGTAAAACCTAACAGGATTGCTAGGCTATGAAGAATATGTATTAAAGTAATAAGCTATAGAAAGAAAGAGAACTGTACATAAACAATTTTGATTTACATTAAAGCTCAATGATTATAGTTTCCAATCTGAGAGAAGAGTAAAACAACAACAAAATACACATAGCAATTCAGGCCTTTCCCTCTTAAATCAAAGGTCTTAAACTGAAGAAGAGCCAGGAGAACAAGAGGAATGCAGGTAGGCATGCCATTTATTAAAGAATTTAGGAGCCTCAAGGGGCTAGAATAAATCAGAAGAGCTCCTTGGGGTACCAGGGAGAAACCTAGGGAAGTGGGGGGAAGGCCTCCAGGGAAGTGACTAGGCAAAAGGGACACCAGTACAAAGTCCCACGAGAAGCTAAAGGGATAAAGGCCGGCCTGATTTGGGATGGCGGGAGGCAGTGCGTGAGATATGCAAACATGGGCTGGAAAGGTTGAGCAAGAATCTGGCTGAAGAGTTTAGGTTTTATCTGAAAGGAACCCACTGAAGGAACTGAGCAAGAGTGACTAGAGTCAGATGTTGCATTTTATAAGCACATGTAGCTTCAGCTTAAGGTTACCTTTTTCAAGGATAAGCATCATCTCTCTCCCCAAGAAGGGCAGTCAGTACCAGGAAGCTGGTTTAAGGAGGCAGAGGTTATCGTCACGTGCTTCATGTGCTGCCTTAGCAGCTTGAAATGTTTACCTGTGTCTATTCAGAAGCACACCTGAGTTTAGCTCTACCAAAAAGCCACCAGGATAAGACAAGGATTAATTGCTCTGGCCCTTAATTTAGAATTTCTTAAAAGCATTCCTGTTGGATTCCAACATAATTGAATTATTCTAAAATCCTTTCTAAGATCCCACTCGTTTTTGAACCAACTGTGCAATCCTCTGTCCAGTGCCCGCGGCATGCAAAATTTAAAAACTGGATCAGTTAGTTAACTGTCACAAGCTTTTGAATGACAAAATCAGTCTGAAGAATAAAAACCTTCAAATTAGACTAATGAATGAGTTCTGCGGGTTATCAGAGACAACTGAGGAGTCCTATCAGAAACAATAGAGATGTGAGATTTTGCAGACCATGAAAAGCTCCTGTTTGGTAAGGAGCTGAGCAGACTGTGAGTAAAGGATACTGAAGTTCTAGTACCAACAATGACTGAGTTGGGTCTGTTGAGAGAATAATTAATATTAGCTGACAAATATATAGGATTTACACAAGTCTTTGTAAAACAGAGTACCTTTATTTACTAAACTTAGGGTACCAAACATCATAAATTATTGTCAATTAAGTGGGACAAGGAAGGACTCCAAGCAAAACTGTTGATTTTGATCAGATCATGTGTACTCATGCATACACAGGCACACAACTGTAGAAAGGCAAAACTGATTACTGTGATTAGCTTTCGGGAATGCAACATGCAATGGAATGGACTTTAGGGGGCAGAGGGAGTAGTAAAAATGAACTGACCTTTCGTTCTATGTACTTACTCTGCACTTCTGCATTGTATTGCTTTTTTATGACTCTTGAGTAATTAAAAATGAAAGTCACTCTTTTTTATTTAGTGGAATAGTTGTGCTTATTCCACTTTTACACATACTTTTTGTATTAGGGAAAGTTAGGCCATAAAACATTCTTATACTTGAATAATGACTATCACTGAATTTAGTGTTGAAATCAAATCTGTGTATCTAAAACCACATCCAAACTTCTAGCTGCGACTCCCGAGTATACTGCCTAAGCTTGCATCTGTCTCTGCTACAGCTATTATATAACACATGCTTCTACTCTGACGTTCCCGACTTGATTGGGAGCTACCTGAGGACAGAGTAGGTGGTTCCTTCAACTTGTTTCCCCAGTGCCCAGGAAACAGGGGGGCAGGTAAAAGGCTTTCTCCTTCCTTCAAACTACTCAGTGTTTGTCAGAGTTTCATTAGTCAACAAAAAACACTCTTTTCTCCAAAAATTGCAGGATAATAAGCTCCTGCAATGACCTGTGAATGGCGGGAACCCTTTCAAGGCTTCAGCCAGTGCCCTTTGTGATTCGGTTGCTTCATTTCCTACAATAAAGCAATCTGCCCTCCAGTTTTGCAGAGGAGATAGGATGAATTCGATTAGAGGTACATCTGCTTTCAAAAACACATGGCTCAGGGCTGGCCGAGTGGCTCAGTTGGTTAAGAGCTCGCTCAAGAGTTTGAGCTCTGAGCAACAGCGGTTCTAGTCCAGCCCGAGCTGAGTAGCCGCTGAGCTGCCAACAGGTAACAGGATGGCTCAGCTTAAAAAACAAAAAAAAACAAAAAAACAAACAAACAAACAAAAAAAACACATGGCTCATGTCAGAAGCTTTCCAGGCTCCCTGCTGCTATACACCCTGTGCTCGACTGGCATCTCCACCCCTCCAGGAACCGGATGTAAAGGAGCAGCAATGGCTCTGCAGATAGAGCAGAGGGCTGACAGGAGACAGGGAAGCCCTGGGAAGCCAAAGTGCTCATCTGCTGGGAGGTGGGGCTTCCCCTAAATTGTGGACATTATGGTCTCCTCCATACTGTTTCTCAGAGAAAAGTGTATTTGAATTGGAAATAATTATTGTTTATTAATCCCTGTCTTCTAAAACTAGAAGCACATTTCAATCAAAGGAGTGATTTTTATATGAACTGAGCTACAGCTCCATAAATCTTTATCTGAAACACAGTGGCCTCAGTTTTGTCAGAAAGCTAGAGAAAAAGGGGCCAGCCAAGGACATGTGGAGTAAAGGGGTCTCAGAAAGGAGAGTCGTGGAGGTCTCGGGAAAACTTCTCCTTTGTTTTCTTTATATTTTTGGTTCTTTGCTTTTCTTTCTTTCTTTTTTTTTTGCTTTTTCTTCTTTGATTTAAACAGTAATATGTACCTATGGTGAAGAGTCTGAAAATTTTAAGAAAATGAATTTTAAGCCCAACATAATACTCAAAAATAACTACCATCAACATCTTGTATATAAATGCACACTGTAAAAAGCAAATTTGGGGTTTCGCTGCATTATATTGTTATATTCCGATTTTTCCTAATGTAATGTTCATTTTGACGTCTTTAAATATTCTGTGCAAATATGATACTTATGATTGCCTAGCATTTCATTAAGTGGATCTCCTATTGAATATTTCTCCATTATATAAGAGGTATTCATTACTGCACTATTTAAAAGTTCTCGACTGTCCCTCTGATCACTTTCTTAGGATCAATTTTGAAAACAGTTAGTGGGTATGGAGAATGACCATTTGAAATATACTGCCACATGGCCTTCCTGAAATGTCACCCATACAAAATGCTTCGTAATGGTGAAAAGCTGCCTTGGGTTTGGCACGTTAGGAAGTGACTAAAACCCACCAGGAAAGGCCCATTACTAAAGGAAGGTTGATCGTGAGGATTTGTCCTGAGTCTTAGTCCTTGATGTGAAGCTTTTTTTCTGCTGTCTTATGCACAGCAACGTGCTTACCAACATCACTTCTAAGTAGAAGGCTCACAAGTCTGTTCCACCCTTCAGATGCTGCTGAGCCATTTCCAGCTGTATTTCCCAGTGGATGTCTCTGTTACCTCAACATAACCACAGCCAAACAAGACACTTTCCCCAAAGCTACCTCCCTTTTCTGACTTTCCTATTTTTTATTAAATTATTCCATAAAGGGCTTCTTAAATACTCTGTGGTTAAGGATCTCACTCCTCCATTGCAAGCAACATATGGAAAGAATTCCTTGTACATACAGGATGGTGTCCCTGAAAGGAGTTCTGCTACATCCTAACATGTCTGATGTTGTCTCTTAGCACCCGCATAGGCTAGTTCATAACCCTCAACTGCTCTTGCTTGGACAATTGCAATACCTCCTAATTTATGGCCCTTCCATGGCCACCCTACACTGCTTTCATCACTTCTCTTCTTCTCAAAACTTTTTACAGGTTCCTCATTGTCTAATGGAATAAAATCCAAATTCTAAGACCTTCAAATCCAACTGCGGCCTTTTCCCCAACTTAATCTTCTGCTTCCTCACACAAACCTTCTGACCCAGTTTAAACTTGTGGACGCCTTAACTAAATAACATGACTACACGCCTGTTTCCACTTTTGTGCCTTGATTCTTGTTACTGCTTTGTTCCCCTAAAAGGTACTCTTCCCTATCAGCTTCGCCATAGCTATCCTTACAAATGCCACTTATTTGATGAAGTTTCCATGACTACTAGTGTTCCTTTAGATGTCCTCTCCAAAGGACAGCATCTAATCCTACCCCAGTCATTTAACATTCAGTCACACATTGCCTGGAGGCATCCAGCATCATTCCCTAGGGTTACTAATTTAATTTTCAGGTATATATGCCCCTTCTCGATAAGCTTCATGAAGGCAAGATGTCTCTTCATCAGCCTTAACATAACTGGATGTGTATAATAAGTTATATATATATATATATATATATATATATATATATATGTATGTATGTATGTATGTATGTATTTTTCCTGAATATAACCAATGTTTTGTTTTGAAATTTTTCAAATACGCAATAATATATATACACAGAGGGTGCCAAAAAAATGCATACTCATTTTAAGAAAGGAAAACTGGGGGGACAGCCGAGTGGCTCAGTTGGTTAAGAGTTGGCTTGGGAGCACAAGCTCTGAGCAGCAGGACCGCCAGTTTGGTTCCCACAGGGGCCACTGACGCTGCATCCTCTACAGCTAAGATTGTGAACAACAGCTCGACCTGGAGCTGGGCTACCGTGAGTGGCAGGTGACGGCGTACGCTGCAGCAGGGCTGCAGTGGGCTGCCGTGACCTACCGTGAGTGCCTGGCAGCCCGTGAGAGCTGCCGTGAGATACCGTGAGCAGCTGTCCAATGGCCGGCAACCGACTGCCTCAGCCGGGAAGAGTGCAATGATCATAATACCAACATGGGCCAGTGAAGCAGCGTCCTCCACAAATAGACTGAAGAACAAAAGGACAGCAACTTGTCTGCTCCCCTCCCCCAATTCCTCAATAAAATCTTTAAAAAAAAAAGGAAACCTGTATTAAAATTGTAATACTCAATATATACCAATAACTAAAGATAAATACAAGTCACATTTGACTTCTGCAATTACAAGAGGTGCTCAAAGTGGTTACCATCAGCGTCCAGACACTTCTGATTACGGTGAACTACTGCTTGAGCAACATTGACCAAAGTGTCCACTTGTATCACTTGCATACATTTTTTTTGACACCCCTGGTGTGTGTGTGTGTGTGTGTGTGTGTGTGTGTGTGTGTGTATACACACACACCTTTGAGCTGGAAAGAGTTAAGTAGTTACTGTTGTAGTCTCAGCACCTACAACAGTGCTGGTTTCACAGTAATTACATGAATGTATGTAATTTGTGAATGAGAGCATGCATGAACTTGAACATGATGGAAGGGGAACAGGCCAATGGGTCCATTAGGGTTCTAACTCCAAGAGAGCTAACCAGTCACAGAGATCACAATTTATCAACACAGAATTTTGGCATTACTTGTTCTTACCTATGAGTATAGGTTTCAGAATTGTGAGCTTTCACAATTGTGAGCTTTTTTCCACAGCCTTCAAGGGCAAATTCACTCTTATGGCGGATTATTTTAATAAAACCTACCAAATTTCACTCGGAGATTACTAAATTTATCTGGGTATCAAGGTAATTAACTTTGTTATTCAACGTCATAGCATTAAATCATGGTACCATCACTAGAAAGGTGTAGATATTCATTTCCGACAGTGTGGTTTCAAAGTAGAGCTCTAGCTATGAATGTGCTGCAAAAGTTGCATTGTTGATAAAGGCACCTTTGCAGTCTGGCCCAAAAAAAGCTACTTCATTAAGTTGGTTTGTAAACTTAGACCTTCCTACCTTTGGAGCCAACATTTTCATCTGGACTGGTTTCACAGAAGCAGTAGGTTTCAGTTGTTTGTTGACATTTGTTGTTTTGGTGGGCTGAACAGGTACTTTGGTGTTCTGAGCTTTCTGTAAGGAAAAAGAAAGTTGTATAGGGCAAGACGGTCAGTGTTGCCCCCACTGTGCACACAGACAGTCCTAATGGTTGTTACCTTAGCTACTTGTGTGGTTCTGCTTGTAACTCTATTTCCAATTTCTTCTAAAACTGCCCGCCGAAGTGTCACATGACTCTTCACTTTAGAATTAATTCCCGTGTCAATATTCTCCAAATCGGTGGACATCTAAAAAAATTAAAAATTAAAAAATTAAGGAAAAGTTGAGACAATTTAAAATACTTCCCTAACGTCAGATATTCAAATTCAGAATTGCTTTAGGAAAGGTGAATATGCTGAGATCTGTTCGAGGAAGGAAAAAGGTACATTTTAGGAAGTCTAAAAATACTATTTGTGTTTGATAACATCATTCTAAATTAGGCAAATCACCATCCACTGTATCTATAAAAAATAATAAAAAATCCCACTAAGAGCTTAACAGATAAGTATTTCTCATATAGCACCCATGTCACTTGTTAGAGATCCCTGTATATTAAAGGCATCTATAGTATTTAAAAACCTCCCTTTACAGAGATTAGTAACAAATGCAATTAAGACACAATATTAAAAAGCTATAATAAGTCTGGCTGTTTAAAAACCAGATGTTTAAAACCTAAACTAGCTTTGATTCTTATGCCAATCTAGAAAAAAAATGCTCCTATACACATGATCTTTTAGACAACAGCTTTTAAAAATGCAGTTGCCATAGCATGGACTCTTTCTTATATTAAGAAAACTTAGAGAGAAAACAGTTTTCATGGGGAAAATAGTTTTACTCTCAAACCCTGAGAAAGTTGGAATTGTATGAAATAAACGTTGTTAGTTGACCTTAACCTGCTTTAGACAGAATGTGCTGAAACAAAACTTGCTAGCAAAAGCAATTCATACAAAAAAGTTAATTTTATCATAGATATGATAAACACGTCACAAGAAAAAACAGCATGTCCTATTCCCCAGAAATTGGGAGTCCTAATCCTAAAGAATCTCCCAAAAGGGGGTTTGAATGGACCTACCAGGACAGAGGGGACAGGGGAATACTCAAGCCTTCTTGGATAGAAAGAATTTGACTATGAAAGAACTTTATGGGATAGATTAGACAAAAATTACTTATCAGTTCGACTTAGATCCACAAAGAGGTAGAAGTTAAAAACTGAATGCATTCAACTTATTAGGATTCTCAAGTCACATTGTTCAATTTTTCCAGCAGTAATTGCCAACTTTTAAAAATGTTTGAAAGTTTAATGCTTATGGAAGCCTGGTAATGTGACTAAGTTTAAACCCATCTGGAAGAGAAAACTGGCAGCTTTTAACTAGCCTTACAGCAAGGAGCATGGAACTCAGGTGTTTCAGGACCTGCTATTTTCCAGCAAAGGCAAAGTAGGTCCACGTACAATTCAAGCCCACAAGGGGAAAAAAAAAATATCCAAAACACCATTAACACTTTGATTTTTGCCAAGATGAAATAGATGAATTTACGCTTGATCAAACATTCAGAACACTTGACTGACTACAGAATTTCTTTCAGTCCTCCTCCTCATCCCAACCACGGATCTATAGCCTGCAAGGAGTCTGAGAGTCGAGGAAGGAAATCCCAAGAACCTGTAGTTAGATCTCTAACAACAAAGAGCACTCAGGACCGCCTGCTGAGTACTAGGCCCAGGGGCTCGGGAGCCTCGCTTAGCAGGTACCACCTCCGAGGCGCTTTCCTGAACTTACCCCCTCCCCAGGGCAGAGACTGGCTGGGGCAGGGATCTGGAGAGCGGAGCCCAGGCCGTGGGGGCAGGCTGCAGGGCCCGGGCCGCGGGGGGAGGGGGCAGCTGGAAGACGGGGAGAGCGGCGCCGGTTGGGACGCAAGAGCTCTAAAGGGAGAAGCGAGAGGCGGCCGAGGGGCCTGCGCCGCCCAAGCCCCTGGCGCTTGTCGCAGAGCCCACTCACCGTCGGGCGTCGGAGCAGCGCCATGAGGGACGCGGCGGGCCAGAGCGCCAGGCCGGCCCAGGGAGGGACGCGGAGGGCAGAGGGAGAGCACAAGCTTCCGCCACGCCGTTAGCTCTGCACTCCAGCCCGCAACGCCGGGAACCTTCGCGTTGTCGCCTGGTTCCAGGATTCAAATACCGCGCGGCCCTACGTACGGCGTGCTAGAGGCGTTCCCGCATGCTGATTGGCTGAGCTTTCCAGACAATTTGGTTGTCATAACAACTTTTTTTTTTCCCCGGCCTGCTGCGTTTTTTATTTTTTAGATCTCTGCCTGCAAGGTGAACAAAAACGAAACGCCTCATTGGGACAGCAAATGTAAGACACCTTTGAATTTTGACAAGGCCTCACCTACGGATGTTTCTCTACGTTTGTACTGGATGGGCAGAAGTTGGTTCAAGGGAACACCCTGGAAATGACATTTCTGACCTTTATTCCTCTTCCGGAAATTTCGAACTGGAGTTTAGGTTGGGTTGGCCTTGGTCCTTGCACAGGCGCCTCTTGTGGCTCAAGGATGCACTGTATTAGGTGCTTGAGATGCAAACGGCTGCTAAAGGGGTAGGAATTGTGACGTTAACTAAAAAGCTAAGATCCCCAGGAGAGGCAAAAGAAACATACAAAATGACATTTGCATCATCTGTGATTCATGTAAGCTCTCCAAAGTATTCCTGGCACATTGGTATGTGTTATGCTCGGTGCTCAATAAATTTTCCATGAATAAATGATCCTATGACATGCAGAATACTTTAAAATGAAAAAGGAGGTGTGATCCAGCCTTAAGCAGAAGGGTAAGGAGAATCAAGAAAAGAAGAAAGGGAAAAGTGAGAGGAACAGGAAAGGGGAGGGGAGGGGAGGGGAGGGGAGGTCCAACCCCAATAGTAATCGAATGACTCCTGATAACAGGCTCCATCTAAGAATCTGAGCAAGCTTTCCCATCACTCCTATTGTACTCTTTAGAAAATGGTTTACCTCTCTATTACTGGAGTATCAATGAGCCTTAAATGAAGTTAAATGATCTGGATTAAATTCCTTCCCTTGCTCTTGCCCGTGCATCTGACATTTCTAAACTTGTTTCCTCTTCTATAAAACAGAAATAATTGCAACTACTATGCAGCATGGGAAGATATTAGTATATCTATCCTCCTATGAGAAAAAGTCCTGGGAAGGAAAAGAAAATGTTTAGTGCACTGGGGTTGTGAGTAAAATTATATTTTTGCTTTATTGTTATAATATTGTGGTGTTATCAAAAGCTGCAACTATAAAAGTAACAATCCTGAACAACTCACAGGGCTTTGTAAACAGAAATGCTGTGAATGGCAAAGTGCTCTTATTGACTGACTTGACATGGTCAAAATCAAATAATTTAATCCATATTAGACACATTGTATTTTCATTAAAATGGAAGTAATGTTTATTTTGTATCCCTCACTGCAACTAACCTACAAACTTACAAATAAACTTTTTGATTCAACCTCTTGTTTAAT